GAACCTCTAGCGGAAGGGAGTTTACGGTGGCACGCAGTTAGAGACTATGACGTCGACTAAACTAAGGCGAGTAGCCAGTGTTAGGCCACCGACTGATTTCCCGCTCCGCACTAATCCTGGACTATCATTTCCTTTTGTAGAGAATCCTTCCCGCCTGGGAAGCGTTGGGGAACAACCTTCAAGGCCAGACTGTGCCTTTTTGTACATAGTAAGGGAAGGGGGCGGGAACGTCCCCCTAAAACTATAATGATTTTTCCAGAGGAACTGATTCGCTTGAATTGAGAAAACCGCAACTCTTGGCGGTTCCGGAGACCGTTTTTGTTGCTTTTGTTTGGTTTGGGTTGTTTGTTTTTTTTTTTTTTTTTTTTTTTTTGTCCTTTTGCGGCTGCTCAGTGGCCAAAAGCAAAGCTAAGAAGCATTCTTGTGCATTCTTTTAGGCCTTCCTGGCCGTTTGTCCCTCGGCTGCACCAGCTTCCTCGCGTCGGCTTTGGGCAATTCCGAGCATTTGAGTGAATCAGCTTCGTAAGGAGTGTGGAATAGTGAGGGTGAAGGCAGAAGACAGGTGAGGCATTTGAGAGGCAGTTTAGGGATTTCAAAGTGGTGCAACTGGTGAGACTAGGGCTCTCCTCTCCCTAGGCACTTCCCAGATGAGGGAGCTTAGTCATTAATCAAAAGCGCTTCTTGGGATTTACTAGGGATTAGGCTTGGCTTTCACTTGCGGACCATCTTCCACTCCCCTAAGCTCCCATTCACCGGTGTTTAAATACCTGTCATCCAGTAAGTGAACCACAGTAAATATAAAATCATGTCGTTTCATTCACTTGAAGCCTACAAAGTAAGGAAACCATGTGCTGAAGAAGGACCAGCTTGAAGATAGGATAGTGTCCCCAGCCCTCCAGCAGCCAACCTGATTACCATGCTAAGTCTGGTCACATAACTACTTTCTGAAGGACATAAAGTGTACTTTTTCATACACTTTTTTCATAGAAGAGACCCTCATCTGTCTTTCTGTGCAGTTAGTGTGAGATTAAACCATGGAGAAGTAGTTTAAAAAAAAAAAAACCCTCAGCAAGATGCCAAAGAGGACAGACCCTGTCGTTTTACGCAGGGGTGAAACTGCTGTCATTGTGCTTGTTCAGCAAAGCTCTGCTGCCGAGACTATGATGGTTGAACTCTCTAAATTTTACCTGTCTCTTCTTTCAAAGTAGAAATTGAAATTAGCACCACTTTTCCTTTAAAGTTTGACATTCTTCAGACATCCACCATGGTTTGACTGCTACCTTTACTGCACAAGCAGTATAAGGCATGGTGTTCCTTTCCCATCAAAAGCTCTGTCTGTTTAATACATATTTAGCACCCCATGCAAGGGTTAGAAACTGAGACCAGACTCTGCATAGTTGAAATCTGTGTTCTCTCTTTAATACAGGCGAATAGTTAGAATATGGAGAAAGTGCACTAGTCAGTGGTTGAGCTAGGGATATAAAGTCTACATTTTATTAAATCATGTGCCTATCTTTCATGGAGTCTAGGGTATACCTCTAGACTCCATGAAGGATAGGCACATGATTTAATAAAAAGATGCAGCATCTCTTCCTGGTTGAACATTTCTTTATCCTAGCACTAGGGAAGCTGATGCAGGAGGGTTGTGAGTTTGAAGCCATCTTGGGCTACAGAGGAAGGTCCAAGCCAGCCTCTATGTAGCAAACTTTTGTTTCTAAAATATGTCTGTGTGTGTGAGTGCACATGCGTGTGCATGCCTGCTGGGATGGACTCTAGGGCCTTGATAGGTAAACCCTTTATTAATGAATTAAATCCCTAACCCTGAGATAGTTAATGAAGGAAAGATGCTTAGCTACTATGTGAAAATGGTTAGAATTTTGAGACTTAGGATCATAGTACTATATTGGATGCCTTGTGCAAGAAACGAAAGTATGGGGCTGTAGAAATGGCTGAGTGGTTAAGAGCTCTGATGCTCTCAGAGGATCCTGGTTCATTTTCCAGCATCCATGCCACATGGGTACTCACAGCCATCTATAACTCCAGTTTCTGGGACATTGAATTCCCTCTTCATACCTCCACAGTGGCATGTAAGTGCTGCACAGAAATGCACGCAAGCAAAACACTCGTATACATAAATATATATATTATATTATATTATAAAGAAGAAATGCAAATGAGGTGGTCATTATTATTTTTTGGAGGCAGGGTCTTATAGCTTAGGTTGACCTAGAACTCATAGTACTCCTGCCTAGCCTCTTTAAGTGTGGTTATAGGTATGAAGCCTCCACTTCAAGCTCTAGGATAGTAATTTTGTAAATCTCAAACAATAAGCAAATAATATCTAAGAAGGGCTTCAGAGATGGCCTAGTAGTTAAGAGCACTTGCTCCTCTTCTAGAGAACACAGGTTCAAGTCTCACTGGCAGCTATAGCCAGCTATGACCGCTAACAATTGTAACTCCTCTGCTGCCCTCTTCTGGCTTCTGAGTGACTACATGCATGTGGTACACAGACACATGTGGACAAAACAGTACATTAAAAATAGAAATAAATCTTAAAAGAATGTCTAAGAAGTCAGTGAGACAAAATACTAGGTATTAGAGCCTCTCTAATATTATGAAATATATCACTTGTAGCTATACATTATAATAACACACTTCTAAATTTCAGCATCAAAATGTGACTGTAGATAATCAACAATCGATCTTTACAAATATTTTTAGGATTACTTCTTTGTTTTTAAGTGTTGCCTGAATATATATGTGTATACCACATGCATGCATGCCTTATGCCCATGGAGATCGGAAGCGGGTGTCTGATCCCCTGTTACTGGAGTTACAGATGGTCATGAGCTGTCATGTGGGTGCTGAGACTTGAATGTAGGTCCTCTGAAGGAGTAGCCAGTGCTCCTAATCACCGAGCCATCTTTCTACCCCAATAGTGATTGACTTCTTTAATAAAAAAAAAAAGTTAAATCTATTCTTGTCTCATATGATATATCCCAACTACTGTTTCCTCTCCTCCAAGTCTCCCCCTTCAGAAAAAGGCAGGCATCCCAGGGATATAAACCAAACATGGCATATCATGTTAAAATAAGACTAGGCAACATCCCCTCATATTAAGTTATTAAGACTGGACGAGGCAACCCAGTAAGAGGAAAAGGGTCCCAAAATCAGGAAAAGAGTTAGAGATGCCCCTCACCCCATACACATATATACTGTTAGGTGACTCACAACAACTCCAAGCTATATAACCATAACATTTGCAAAGGACCTAGGTCAGACCCATACAGGAACCCTCATTGTTGGTTCAGTCTTTGTGAGCCCCTATGAGCCCTGGTTAGTTGATTCTGTGGGCCACTTTGTTGTGGTGTCCCTGACCCCTCTGGGTCATACAATCCTTCCTCCTCCTTTTCCATATAAGATTCCCTGAGCTCTACCTAATGTCTAGCTGGGAGCCTCTGTATCTGCTCCCATCAGTAGCTGGATGAATGCTCTCTGATGGTGATTATGCTAGGCTCCAGTCTAAAAGTATATCAAAGTATCATTAGGAATCATTTCATTGATTTATTTATTTTGGTTTTGTTTTTTCGAGAGAAGGTCTGTCTGTGTAGTATTGGCTGTTTGGGAACTCGCTTTGTAGTCCAGAGCTGGCCTTCAACTCACAGAGATGCCTCTGCCTCCAATGTGCTGTAATTAAAGGCATGCACCATCACCGCCCAGTGACTTTTAAATTCTTTTTTCAATAGTATTTGGTTCTATCCTAGATCTTTGGGCTATCCAGCCTCTGGTCTATTGCCCTCCAGGTATCATCAGACATGGGCTTTCTCTCCCATGATATGGTTTAAGATTTATGTATATAGGTGTTTTGTCTTCATGTACATCTGCACAACAGAAGAGGGCATTGGGTCCCCTAGGACTACAGTTACAGACAGTTATGAGCTGCTCTGTGGGTTCTGGGAATTTAACTCAGGGCCTCCAGATGATCAGCCAGTGCCCTTAAGCACTGAGCCATCTCTCCAGCCCCCAGTAGTGATTGATTTTTAAGTGAGTTGTAAAAATGAAAAAACTCCACAGAGAAAGGGATAATCACTGTGATGAAGTGTACTAGGGCCAGGCGGTGGTGGCACACGCCTTTAATACCAGCACTTGGGAGGCAGAGGCAGGCGGATTTCTGAGTTCGAGAGTTTGAGGCTAGCCTGGTCTACAGAGTGAGTTCCAGGACAGCCAGGGCTACACAGAGAAACTCTGTCTCGAAAAACCAAACCAAAAAAAAAAAAAAAAAAGAAGTGTACTAGGAAGACTTAATAGAGACCAAGGGGCTTTTCTGTAAAGGATGACTTACCTGTAAAGGGCAGGTAGCTGTCATTTCCTGAGAATTTTCCATGTAATCTGTTTATACTTAAGCCATATTTGTTCTTTATGATCCTGAGAGGCAGGCCCTTTATATCTGCCTTTTACAAATAAGGAAACTGACATAGAGCCAGGGAGTAGTTGCTCATGCCTTTAATCCCAGCACTTGAGAGGCAGAGGCAGGCAGATTTCTGAGTTTGAGGCCAGCCTGGTTTGCAGAGTGAGTTCCAGGACATCCAGAGCTACACAGAGAAACCCTGTCTCGAAAAAAAAAAAAAAAAAAACCAGACTAACAAAAACTACAACAACAAGAAAACTGACATAGGCCGGGCGTCGGTGGCGCACGCCTTTAATCCCAGCACTTGGGAGGCAGAGGCAGGTGGATTTCTGAGTTCCAGGCCAGCCTGGTCTACAGAGTGAGTTCCAGGACAGCCAGGGCTACACAGAGAAACCCTGTCTCGAAAAACCAAAAAAAAAAAAAAAAAAGAAAACTGACATAGAAGGTAGTTGGCTTTCCCTGCACCATATGTTGAGGAAATAGAAGAATTATGGTTCAGTTTTATTCCTGCCAGTCCTCAAAGTCTTTGCTTTTGACTATAGTTTGAGGGTTTCCAACCTGTGTGCTGGACAGCTTCAGTGGCTTAAATGTGACCTCACAGTAAACTGAGCTTTGAGGAGGAATGACTCATAAAAACTTGGTGGTCTTCATTTGTGGTGCCATCAGCCTGATAAACAAACCCAGAGGGCCACAAAGCTCTGTCTGCAGAGTTTCAGTAGGGAATAGTCTCAAAATGGATTTAGGGTGAAGGATGATTGACATTGTCAGTCAGGCAAGCAGAGGACCAGGTGATCAAACAGGAATAGAATTTCAGTACAAAACAAAGCAAAGATGCTGTATGTGGTGACAGAGGCACAGAAGGCCTGGCTAGACAAAGTGCAGAAAGACAATGAGCTGACCAAACGAGAGACTAGAGTTATCTCAGAAGACAAAAAAGGCTTTGGAACTGAACAGTCTGGTCTGGGTATCCTTAGGCTACCTCTCACCAAAGGGCCTATTTCTTTTCTCTGTCCATGCCAAAGAAATGATTCTGAGTGGTTTACACTAAGTCCACAGGAGAGGTATGCTTTTAGTTCATTTATAAGAAATGATCAGCCGGGCCGGGCAGTGGTGGCGCACGCCTTTAATCCCAGCACTTGGGAGGCAGAGGCAGGTGGATTTCTGAGTTCGAGGCCAGCCTGGTCTACAGAGTGAGTTCCAGGACAGCCAGGGCTACACAGAGAAACCCTGTCTCGAAAAACCTAAAAAAAAAAAGAAAAGAAATGATCATTGTTTTGTGTGTGTGTGTGTGTGTGTGTGTGTGCACGCCATGGGAAATGCAATGTTTTCTCAATAGAGAAATGGCTCTTGTTCTTGACCAGAACATTGAGATCTTTGACTGGGATAATAGGTGAGCAAATATGTGGTATCTTCAACACTCTACCTTTGCTTTTTTATCTTTTAGATTAGCTTGGGCAAAAGATTCCAGAGACCCTAGGATTTCAGAAGGTCAACGGTCTCCACTGGAGAAAAAGATCCTGGTAAATAATTTGTATACTCTACAGTTTGAAACTACTTAGAAAAGGGACTTGAGGTTTAAAATTATTCTGTACAGGTGACCCTTTGAGGCATTACTCAGCATCCTCTCTTGTAGAGTAAATTATTCCAGACCCATATACTTTAGAAGCTAGTTATTTATTGTTGATGGGCACTATATACTTTAAAAACAACCAGGCTTGCCTGTGAGTATGGGGTGTAAAATTTAAACTTACTCTAAAATAAATAAAAGGGGTGGGTGGATGTGTGTTTACCTTCTTTTGACTTCAGAGTTCTGGGATTAAGGTTCATGCTACCACTCCTGGCTCAAGACTCCTTCCTTATAATAGTACTGGGGAAGGCAAACTTCTTTTAAATGTGTTTAAAGGAAAAATTACAAAATTCTGAAACTCACTTTGACAGAATTGTGGTGGTGTGCGTACAACAGCAGCAAGACACTTGGTATCTCAGAAATGCCATGAGGAGAGCAAAGCACTCTGCAAGGATCAAGCTCATTCTCTTGACTACTGGCTTGCAAAAGCAGAGTCGTATTATAATAAAAAAATAGTGGACATGATGAAAAAAGACACAGGTGGTGAAACAAAGACAAAAGTGGAAGAGAAACCACCACCACCACGCACAGAGAGACAGAAACAGCATTATTGGGTGCCTGAGAGAGAGAAGAAGCAAATAGAAAGGCACATTCATAGAACAGGCCAGGGCAGAGAATTTAAGGACAAACCCTGGAGACTCTTCAGTGAAGCAGCACTACCCAAAATTATGCTAGAGAAGCATAGCATCCCAAAAGCACAGAAAAGAAGGCAGGCACATGAGAGAGAACTGCTCCAAATTAAAGATCACCAGGAGCGCATGATTCGAGGGAGAGAACTTCTACAGCAAAGGCTCAAAGAAAGAATCTTGAGAAAAAGCCTGAGCCAGATCCCACTTCCTGAGAAACATGTTCGAGTGAAGAAACAGAGAAAAGAGTTTGAGAGGGTAGTTGCATACCCACTTTTCCAGCCATCCAGTACCAGTCGGATTAAAGTAGATATTCTTATGGAAAAATCTCGGGATGAAGAGGACTTGAGCACAATTATAAAGCCATTTGGAAGGAGATTCTTAGCTGTACCACCCTTTTTGAGAACTCAAATAGGAAAAATAAAGGATCTGTAATGTTTCAGAGCTTTGCTGATGGAACCATGTTTCTTTTTTCTTTCTTTTTTTCTTTTTTTGGGGTGTGTGTGTGGTGGTGGTGGGGTAGGGGTGGGTGAGGTCCTAGCTGTCCTGGAACTCTCTGGCCTCAAACTCAGAGTTCTGCCTGCCTTTATCTCCCAAAGCCTGGGATTAAAGGTGTGCACCCCTACCACCTGGCTGAAAACATGTAAACATATTTCTTATATGAATCTATCTTTTCTGTTCTGGTTGTCTGGTTTTTTTTGTTTGTTTTTGTTTTAAAGGTTTATTTATTTAATATATATGAGTAGTCTACCTGCAAGTACACATGCCAGAAGACGGGATCAGATCACATTAGACATGGTTGTAAGACATCATGTGGTTGCTGGGAATTGAACTCAGGACCTCTGGAAGGGCAGGAAGAACAGTCAGTGCTCTTAACCACTGAGCCATCTCTCCTTCCCTGAGTGGTATGATTTCTATTATACACATACATAGTTAGCAAATAGTTGGGCTTGAAAGTTTGCCTAACTATTTTATAATTTATATTTGTTCAAATTATCCTTTCAAAAATATTTAGATTATATTTATTTGTTATGTGTGAGTGGCATTGCATATGTTCATATGTGCATACGTCCATGTGTGCATGTGCGTGCATGCCTCTGTGTGTGTATGTGTGTATGAGTTAATGTGGAGGTTAGAGGTTAGAGGTGGTCCTATCATCTGGGTCCTGAGGATTCAACTTAGGTCATCAGGCTTGACAGCAAGAGCTTTTACTTGCTGAATCATTTCACCAGCCTTGTTTATCCTGTTAAACATTGCTTCCTTATTTATAAAGTGAGAATGACTTCTTAAGGGATTTATGGAGAATGAAGAACATTGTAGGACATTATTATGTACTGTTGTTTTGTGGATGTTAGCTCTCCCAGCTGGGAAGACCTAGTAGTTCAATAATGGTGAAGAAGGAATTTTTCTCATTTGCCCAGGTCTTTGGTTTCTCCTGCTTCCAACATTCAAAGTTATCTTAATAATGTTACTACAGTTCAATATAATCTTACACTTTGGTGGTTACTTTGCTACTACCTTCACTAGAGAAATACCAACCAGGCCATAAAATTCTGACTTGCAACATTTAATTTATTTATTTATATGCAAAGTTTAATTTTGAGACTCTGTGTAATATTCATGTGTTCATTCCTGGAGATGAGGAGATGTTATGTGCGATGTTTCCTGGGGAGACATGAATAAATGTCTACTCACCTCAGATGAGGCTCCAATAATAGACCAAAGAAACATTTCTACAAAAGTCCAACTTGGTAAACTAGTTAGTTATTGGGGTGACTTACACAACCATGGATGATCAAAGACAGCTCTGTATCACCAAAAAGTCGATCTAGTATGGGTAATGACTTGTGAAAGCTGCAATCCTGGAGCCCTCTGCAGGGCTTGCAGATATCAGACATTTCAGAGAGTCTCCTTTCTCCAGTTCTAATTGCTTTGAGGAGGGTTCTTGTGAATCTTGTAAATTTCAGGATCTTCCTGGATGCTGGGAGCCTGCACAATCCCCAAATAACATTTACCTGTCTTGACTGTATGTTACTCTGAGGCCAGAAGCCACAGACCTCTGGCAATTAATACCCATTTGTTAAACAGTAGAGGATTAAGTAGAGAAGTTCTTTGCCCTCTCCCAGGTTCTTTGCAGCCCCACCCTGAGGCTGAGAGTTCACTAACTCTTTACCAGCTAAAGAAACAAACTTTGAAAAGAGATTCTAATCTTTATTTCTAAGGGAAAGAAAAAGGGGGAACTAACTTTCTGTTGATCTTAAGAAACAACCTGACTCTAAAAAAATAACCTGTCTGTGCTCTCTGCTTTTCTCTGCTCATATTCTGCTCCTATTCTGCTTCTCTATTGCTTCTGTTCTGCTTCTGCTCTTACTGTCATTGTTCCATTAAGACTAGTTATCTAACTAAACATGTATTATCTGCCATTATCTCCACAGGTTCATTAAGCATTTAAGATGATAATTTTTATGTCTAAGTTAGCAAGGTTTTGCCAAGAAGCAAATCATCTGCCTAGAGTCTCAATAGTATTGAAGTTTTATATAGATTCAGTCAATATTTTATCTTCTGTTCTTGCACCTACAATAAATTGTTCATTCCCTTTTACTGCCTTTAGTTATCAGATAATAGTTTCACATAGCCTAAAAGGAATGTTTCCCTGATCATAAATCCATTTCAACCCTGCTTTCTATCTTAGTGCAATTAGCTGATGGCACATGAAGGTTTACAGAGCCACAATTGTATCTTTCATATTACAGAGGACTCAAATTACTTATATAAACTTGGGGATTCTATGGAATCATTATTAGGAATTATGAGATCATCAGTTTGTCTACATAACATTACTACGAGAGAGTACATCTTCATTGATCTACAAAAAGTCTGCCAAATAGAGTGAGCTAATCTCCGGGAATTGTTATATTAATTTAATAATAACAGAAAAGGCAAATCAGCTCTAAGAATCAATCCTGAGACTGAGATTTCTGAGAGCCTTGCAATTCAAAATTATCCATTGCAGCCCAAGCAAAATGATGCATTGTCTCCAGAATGTCACTTGTATGCCGTCAGCCTTTCCTAGATGACTTCTGACACCTGGGACTCAGTTGTGTACTTAAGTCTTAATGAACCTCCCTCCAGAATTGAATGTTTTTTTTTAAATATAGTTGATTCTTTTATAATTTTATTTATTTATTTATTTTAGGTTTTTTTTTTTTTACAATTTATTTATTTTACTTATGAGTACACTGTAGCTGTCTTCAGACACACCAGAAGAGGGCATCAGATCTCATTACAGATGGTTGTGAGCCACCATGTGGTTGCTGGGATTTGAACTCAGAACCTCTGGAAGAGCAGTCAGTACTCTTAACCATTGAGCCATCTCTCCAGCCCAGAATTGAATGTTTTAATTCAGTAGAAACTTCTACCCAGTCCTGAAGAGATGTCCTTGCCCTCGAGTAGTGAAGAGCTCATGGTGTGACTCACTCCACCACTGGGTAGTATGTGGTGAGAGTTATGTACAGGTATTATACAAAGGAAGGACCCTGCCTAAGTGAGCAGGAGGAAGAGGAGAAAGGAGATTAGAGAAGGGTATCTAGTAGACATTATATTTTATCACTTCCTATCACCCACTTAAGCAGCACATTCTCTTAGCATAGATTATGTCAGGTTTAAGCAAACTGAGCCTCTCACAGAAATGTCTTCAGAATTCATTGGAAACCATGATGCGAAGTTAAAATGTAGTGAGAATGTATTCACTAAGGTGATTTGCAATAAATTATTTTCCCATTCATTTCCTTTTCTCTTCCCTTTTTTTCTTCCTTCCTTCTTTCTTCCTCCTCCTCCTTCTTCTTCTCTGTCTGTCTCTCTGCCTCTCTGTCTCTGTCTCTCTCTCTCTCTGTCTCTGTCTCTCTCTGTTTCTCTGTCTTTCTGTCCCTCCCTCTCCCTCTCCCTCTCCCTCTCCCTCTCCCTCTCCCTCTCTCTCTCTCTCTCTCTCTCTCTTTCTCAGAGAGGGTCTCTCTATTAGGTAACCCTGGCTGTCCTGGAACTCACTATGCAGACCAGAGTGACCTCAAACTCATAAGAGATCCACCTGCCTCTGCCTCCCAAGTGCTGAGATTAAAGATGTGTGTCATCACACCTTACTTCATTTTCCTTTTTAAAAGAGAAATGCATTTATCTTATGCATATGATTGTTTTGTGTGCATATATGTCTGTGCATCATGTGCATGCTTGGTATCCAGGGAGATGAGAAGAAAGCATAAGATCCCCTGGAACTGGAGTCACAAACAGTTGTGAGCCAGCCCACACAGGTGCTCAGAAATGAACTTGGGTCTTCTGGAAGAGTAACCAGTGCTCTGTAACAACTCAGTCATCTCCTCAGCCCCACCAACTCATTCTCTTTATTGTTACATTTATTTATTTTGTAAGTGTGTGTGTGGGGGGGGAAGGAGATGTCTGTACATGTTAGAGGACAGCATGTGGGAGACACTTCTCTCTTTCACCATCAGTTCCAGAGATTAAACTCAAGTCTCCAACTTGGTAAGGAATGTCTTTACCTGCTGACCCAGCTCACCAGTTCATTGTTTTTAATGCCAAAAGGTTGAGAAAGTAGAAATTCATAGTTGCTGAGTAGAGACCAGAGAAATAAAACCTAAGTGTCCTAAAGTTGTACACTCAGTGACACTTCTGATACCCAGGGTCTGCACTGCCTGAATATCACTGGTTCTCTAGCCTGTCTAATAGAACTTGCAGTAATACAAATGTCTTGTATCTGTATTCTTCAGAAGAGTAGCTTCTTCCTATATGTGGCTATTGGCCATTTAAGATGTGGCCAGTGTACCCAAGGAACTGAATATTTAATTTGTTTTTTTGGCAGGGTCTCCCTAATTTGGTTGAGTTTAACTTGCCACACGTGGCACTGCCCACCATAAGCAGTACAGCCAGGATAAACACTGTTCCTGCCTTCTCTATGGCAATCCTCCATCCTCTGTATTTGACACTGTCTTCTGTATAAAAGATTACTACTTACTTCACGTTAGACTAGTTTTCCTTTGCAGTTCTGAGGTTCACTAATCTCTTAAAGAGTGCTATATACAACTTCTCTAGTTGGCTTTGACTGTTGAAGCAGTGATGTAGAATCTCCAAATTAAAAAAAAAAAATCCCAGGACCAGATTGACTCTCTGCTGAATTCTGTCAGACATTTACAGATCGACTAAGACAAATGATCCTCAAATTACTCTGTAAAATAGAGAAGGAACATCACAAAACTCATTTTGTGAAACTAGCCAAACTGAATAACACTAAAATTTATATCCTAATTTCTCTGGTAAACATGGATAAGAAAATTCTTTAAAAATACCTATAAATCAGGTTTAACATATATTCCTAAAAATCATATACCATGGTCAAGTTTGCCTCATTCTAGGGGCACAAGGATTGTTCAACATATGCCAGTCAGCAAAAG